AATGCTCTGTAACAGATTTCAAAGACAAGATTAGCTGGGTCAACAGCAGTTAATAGAGCAATTTATTGATTTGTTGCTTCAAAAAGGAGTAAAGAAAGAAGTACTATGTGAATGCATCCACAGACAGTGATGGTTTGGTGTTGATTTACTTAACAAACTCCATCGTGTATTTGCTGTTCAATTTAACAAACACTGTCTCCTGTTTGACAGTGGCTGACCTATACATAATATAAGGGGGAAAAGAGAAAGACACGTTTTTAAAAGGGGTTCAACAAATTTTTCAAAATCACCAAAAGTATTTTAAAATCTTGGTACCGTGAGGCAATAGCCAAAAACACGAAAAGCATAAAGCACAGGATTTGAGGTTAATGGGCCAATCTGCTCAAACCCCAACCCCACAGCTGCAGAACTTGGTGACACAGTACCCATGGTTGTTTTCTTGTTTGATTGGATTATGGCCACACACCTCAAGCTCGGCTTCCACCACCAATCAATGAGGAAATGAGGTGTCAACACACTGGTGTTTATTCAACAATCATTTATTTTTCTACCAGAAGCCTAAGCCAGTTCGACCACAAAAGACACCAGATGAGTGAAGGGATTTTCTTTAAATGTTTACATTTCTTGCCCATTTCTAATAGCATTACAAACAAGAGGGTTGTGGTGTAAAAGTACTAATTATGTTTACAAATATCCTGCTCAGTTTATTCATTTTCTTTAATTGCATTTATTATAGGCCCATTTTAAAGGGAAAGCCAATTTACTGTGAAATAATGAATGCATTTATAATGACACCTTGTACCAATATTAAGAGTGTATAATATCACAAAAAAATTCTTTGTCTTGGTTCTAATGTCTTTAACAACTGAGACAACGGGGCTTTTAAACTTCAGGCTGTGCATCCATATGACCAAGCTAAAAGAACTAATAATGGGAAGACATCAGGATGTCTGTAATGCTTCCAATCAGCATGAAGTACCATCAAAATAAAATTCTGCACAGTAGCTGCCGCTTTAAAACAACTGGGGCAATCGAACATTCCGTTCCCAATTTATGCCAAATGCCACTTTATAAACATTTTTGCTTGACTGCCAAGTGTCTGTACTGCTTTATGCCCCTTCTCTTAATTGAAAACATTATAGGGGTGCATTACTCTTGTGGATTTTATAAGCTGTGCTATAAAACCCTAGCAGGCCCTGTGAGGGGAAACTGCCCATTAACTTATGAGGTCCAGGCCTTGTCTCTCTTAATTGACAACCTTTAGGCTACTTTCATCACTTGATGACTTCATAGCGGCAGTCAATGCTTCCCCCAGGATGCTGTTGCATCTTTGACACAGGGGTGTTTGTGACAAAGAGCAGTCTGCCGCCAATGCCAAGGCGAGGACTCTAGGCCGTCCATAAAACAATCATACACATTCCTCTCCAGGCATCTGAGAGGGCTGCATTTAACAATGTAAATACAAGTCAATTGGGGTGTGACGATACACATAGCTCACAAGACAAGACAATACACAATTAATGGGATTACAAGAACAAGATGAGACAATTTTTTAGCATTATTTTTAAGAAGTCGTCAATGACAAAATGTATGATAGTATAAATTGTTTTATTCAACTGAAAGTCACAAAATGCAAAACAACGCAGGTACATTTTGAAATGTTTTAACTAATCATCATGTAGGTCAAAGGTCAAAGTGTTTGTCATATGCACAGTTAGGAAACGTGTTTCCCTGTACAATGAAATTCTTACTTTGCCGTCCACATGAATGCCACACAATACAAGTGAAATATAAAGTAGATAAATAAGTAACACTAAATCTAGGGCACTTTAAGAAGCAAATGCAGCAATATAATAAAAATATATAAGAATATAATAGAGAATGTATGCTGCATGGGAGCAGCATGTGCAGCATTCAACAGTCAATGTGCAATTATGCATGTGCAAACTGAGAATGTAAACAGTACATCACGTATTTCCTGGTAATAAACGCCTCAGCTGTGTAGGAGTCTGATGGCGGAGGGAAAGAAAGAGTTTTTCAGTCTACTGGTCCTGCATTTCACACTTCTGAATCTCCGGCCAGAGGGCAGAGAATTGAGCAGTCCGTGCTGGGAGTGGGTGGGATCTTTGAGGATAGAGACAGCTTTCCTACGCACCCTGCAGTGGTAAATGCTCTGCAGAGAGGGCAGTGCACCAGACCGGCCACCTCCCTCCTGTAGGCTGCTTCATCCCCGCCAGTGATGCGACCCATCACTGCAGTGTCATCCGCAAACTTTAGGATGATGTTGTCTTTGTGGGAGGCGACACAGTCGTGGGTGAACAGGGTGTAGAGGATGGGACTGAGGACACATCCCTGTGGGGTGCCAGTGTTTGTAATAATGCTGGCTATTGCCAATCCTGACAGTCTGGGGCCTGCCAGTCAGAAAGTCCAGGAGCCAGTCACAGAGGGTGGGGTGCAGACCCAGTGTGGACAGTTTGTGGGTGAGTTTGTGGGGGACAACTGTGTTGAAGGCGGAGCTGTAGTCAGTGAAGAGTATCCTGATGCAAGAGTAATCAACGTCACTTCAGTCTTACTCTCTGTGTATGAATTATCACATGCAGTAAAAGACAGAACAATACGCAAGCACTGTAAAACATTTTGCCACCAACTCAACTGACTGGCTTCTCTCCTGTACGATTTCACATGTCACTTCAGACTTTATAACTATGCACGGACTATGCATGAGCTTCTAACTGAAGCTGTGTGTGACTTTCTATGCTATTTTCACCTTCATGGCACTGCACCGGACGGTGACATCATCCAGCAAAAGCGCTGCGTTGACCAATCATATGGGTGATGATCAGGGATGTGGACAACCACCAGAAGATGACCCATTAGTTTACCTTGTTAGCATGAGCACTCACTGCTATTCACTGTCAAATTTGGGTCCCAATTAACGCATCATAATGACACACCATGCATTTTCATCAGTACTGGATGTTAAACTCAGTTTATTATCAAATCAATGCCAAGACTGGTGGTAGAATTGGTGCAAAGGTAGAGTAGCCACTCACATTGAACTATCACAATGTAGTCATATCATACACGCGTACAACCCGTCACCCCTGACCAACGCAGCCCCGTGCACAGTAGGGAGTTGCATCTTCAGCTCAGTCTGAATGCACAGTCACACTCATACTGGCTGCTGCTCTAGTTCTGTTATGTACTAATACCGTGAGACAGTTTTTTCCTCGACAAGAAATACAGGTATTGTCATGTCTTAATATCATGTGTTCTCATGGCACAACATCTCATCACAACTTTAGCAGCCAGAATCAAATATGAATTCCATTTGGATTTTTAATACTGTACACAAGTCAAATCGCATATCATAAAAATCATTTTAAAATATCCAGAAAGATGCATAAAATAAAATGTAAGACGCTTAAGGTAAAACAGGGATTATTAAGAATATTTCATTTCCATTCTGTTCAGGACATTACCACAAGCACAAACAGACACAGATAAATATTTCATTTCCATTCTGTTCAGGACATTACCACAAGCGCACACACACACAGATAAAGACACACACACACACACCCACACAGGGATGACAAACACTTTACACTCTAATTTGGCAAAGATCATCACTTTGTTGCCTCTGAAAATTCACGTGTATTGAATTAGATCCACATGTCACAATGTTTTTGACTAACACAGACACAATTTTTGAATATTAAGCCTGCTTATTGTCCGTCTCTCTTATGTGTTTGTTTCAAGACATAAGTCATGTAATGGGTCTTTGTTTGGCTCAGTTGGTTTAATCTTAGCTTTGGCTCACATGCGTCAGTGAAACCACTAACCTTCATTTTCATAAATCCATTAAGTGTTCTCAAATCAATTAAAGAAACAAAAAAGTCACTTGAGGTTTGCAGTCACCTAAACATTAGAGACTGTTGATAAGCAACATTGTGACTGCAGTGGTACCAACGAGAGTGTGCAGAGTGAATGAGAAGTGATTTACAAGCTAATGAAAAGTCACTCAGTGCCAAGGAGGGCTGTCACCTGAGCAGAAACAGAACATGTGGCTGCTATTACAAACTGGAACTATGATTATCATGATACACATATGATTTATATTAATCTGTGAATTTAAAGGCCGATATAGTAGTTTTATAACATGCCACTGTAAAGGACGATTCTTGTAAAAGAATAAAACTTTTGTAATGTTTTACTGCAGATATGTATCTAATATTTTGTCCATCCAATTATATCAGTAAGGGTAAATTAAATAGTCTACTTAAAACACCACTTACAGAAGTATATGCATATATGCTAAAATTTAATTGTGCCCTATTTGTCAGCCTTAATTGCATTTATTTGGCCTATTGTTCTATTTTGTTGTGTAAAACCTTCCACAATTTACTTTAGTATGCATAGCTTAAATAACTGCAGTTTGATTTGCTTTTTGTACTTTTTTATGAACAGAACAAGCTACCAGCCAGCAGGTAGTAGTCTTGCCCAGATAGTGTCCGTGTTGTTGAATATTCCTGAAACTAATTTACACACAAAAAAAGAAAAACCCCAAACAGGCTACCGCCATACAGTGAAATGTTAAGAAGGTATTAACGTGTGAAAACATAAATGCCACCAAGCCCAAAAGCTTTACCACACGACCACTGCAGGGTTTGCTTTCTATGGCAGAGGTTGTCAGTGCAAGCTCTGTACATTGTCAGTGGCTCTAAACTCATTCAAGAAATTTTAAAAAGCGCAAAAAAACAAGCACATTCTTTAACATTCTGGCAAAAACAAAGGCAACAACAAACACAAAGCATAAAACACTGTTGCTAACTGCTAGAGCTACTTCAATCTATGAAAGAACCAACAGCTGCTACCGTGACATGGAGGAAAACTTATCCGCCAAAAATAGCACCGTCACACTTTAAAGGTTACGTTTTTTCCTACAACAGAGAGAGTACATTCAGGAAAATTAGTAATTACAATAAAAACTGACTTACCGTGGAACAAACCGTTTTACCGCTGTGGTTATGTGCGCCGCCATATTTCCTACGTTGACGTGGAAAAAAACACAAGCACTGATTGGCTGTTAACATACATCTTCGTGTAGGCTAAGTAATGTGATTGGCCACAGTATAGAGAGGGGCGGGCACTGAACGACTCTCAGCACATGGGAAGGTAAACAACAGTAGGACGGTGCTGCTGTGGAAAGGGCAGAAACGGCGGAGGATATACGACCGTCTTAGACAGTGAACTTACCCAAACATTAGCTGCAATTATATTAATAAATAATTCAAAAGAAATAATAAAAAAAGTATCAATGGACAAACACCGATTAATCTGTGATATTTTGTATTCTTCTGTTCTGTGAGACAGAAGAAAAATAGGTCGAAGCTTGCAACAGAAAGAAACAGGATGAAGTCAGGGAAATAGAGATTTGAGCACAAGGCAGGTTGGGAGTTCTGTTTCACAGCAGTGGTGAATTAGTACCACTACCATCAGCCAGCCAGTGTGGTGCGCAAATGACACGCAATATTTTCCATGATTAAGTCAGTGGGGGATTTGTTCCAAATGCCAGGATTAGACGACAGTCATTGGGCTGTAGGTGTATGTAAATGTGAATGTCCTGCTCGACCAACTGCACTTCCTGAAGAATGTCAAACCAAATGTTTTTGGTGGCTGAGGTTGAATAAGGTGTGACGTTCATGAATATCTCTTTATCGCTTGGTCTTGCTTCACCAGGACGTTTCCTTGGAAGTTGGCTTAACATCACCTGTCATAAATATCTATCTATCTATCTATCTATCTATCTGTTATTCATTTATTTAGTAATTTTCTGCACATTTAATCAATTAGAACAACTGTAGTTTCCCAACTTTTGTGTAGACCAGAAAGTGTACATATATGGCCCAGTGATTTTAATGTAGAGTTTCCCAACCTGGGGTCAGGACAGATAACTGTCACCAGAGGTCACCAGATAACTCTAAGGGGTTGCATTATCTTTAAGAAGATTTTTTTTAATTAACATGTTATTAATTTTTTCCATTTTTAATGACATCTAAAAAATTTTAATTTTTTTCCAGGTCATTTTTGTTGAATAAGTGATATTCTTAGTACCTGCTTTTCTCTCTTTCTCTTTCTCTGTCTATCTCCCATGGCAACACAACAAACATATTCATTATGACAAATGACAGAAACATGAGTGATCCTCATTGTTTAGAACATATGAAATGACCTATATATATAAATAGATCAGTGAAATAAATCTGAAACATGTCTCAGTTTGCTTGCTGTCGATCTATGATCAGGTAAGAAAACTAGCATTTTTTTCCAGTACAGATTTTCCTCCTAAACTAAGAGGTGTATGTGCATCCATTCCTACATGGGATAAAAATTCAATGGAGTTGGAAAATTCCATCCATGGGTTACTAGGAAACTACATTATTCCCTCCCCCTTTAGTCCATCGAACACAATTGTTGTCTACTAATCCAGTTTTGATAGCATTTGGCACACTTTCTTTGAATCACAGCAAGATGCTCAACTTCCATTCTGGTCTCCCCTAGGAACCTCTGAGCCCAAGAAAGCAGCTGACACCAGGTCGCGCCAGAGCGCGCGGGGGTTTTGGGGGTGGCGGGTGGGGGGGGGTCTGTGTCCTCATAAGCACAGAAAATTATTTTTTGATTCAAGTCACTCCTTGCCACATGCACACACAGGCACACACACACACACACACCATTAATCATACATATATGCTTGTACATGGGTTTAGTCTTGTCAATTTGTTATGTTGTTAAATGTTGCAATCACCTAATGAGTCCCCTTTAACATAATAGAATATAAAATATTATGTCAAAGGTAAAGGCGTTTGCTTGTGTCCCTCCTATGTACTCCCTGATCCAAATGGACAATGCATCACTGGTCCTTGATGCCTCAGAAGTCTGGGTTCATTAAAATCTTGAACGAGTGCCAAAGCTGTAGTCATAGATAAAAAGAATATGAAAGGATAACGAAATTTATGGATGGCAAGTCACCACCTCACCCTGGCATTTATAATAAACAAATGGTTTCTGTTTCCAATTTAAATTTCTCATTATACTGTGACTTTTGGAAAATGTGTTTTGATTTACCAACATTTTATCTGAAAAACTGTATAATTGATTAGATTTACATGGCTCTGATTTTAATGCTGATCTCCTGCCTTCACCAACAGCCCCCACCCCCCCAGCCCAACACTCACCAAAAAAGAATGATCTGAACAGCTCCTGAGGCACATTAACATCATATAAAACAAACCTACATATCAAACATGTTTTTTTCTGATAAAATAATTGCCTTTAACCACCATAGAATCCAATTCATCCCCTTGAAAGAAACGTCTGTGAGGGCACCAAAAAAAAAAAGGTGGGATAGACTTCACAGCCTGAGTGAGATGGACATCAATGCAGTGTGCCAGCAATGGCTATATTAACCCATGGCTAAATCCCATCACACAAATGTCAGTGTATCCGTTATGAAACCATGACATTTAGATCCAAGGTCTCCATTGTGGTTTTGGAGGGAGCTGATGTTTGTCCATTCTTTGCATCCATCAAACTCACACGCAGCCTCACAGTCAACTGTACTCTAAACATAGAAAGGTTAAAGATCATAAAGGTTTATGAGTTTAATTTTATTGCATAATACATACAGTGGCATAAATACAATTTTTTATAATAGCATATTCATTTTCTTCCTTGAAAATTATTACACAACATGCGAGATTTTAATTATTTCTTAAATATTTCTTTAATATAAAATATGAACAGTGTACTCTACTCACATAGTAAACATTTTAATGAATGACAACACAATTTTGGCAAATAAACAATCCAAAAATGTTTTCTAATAATTAAAGATTATGATATTCTTTTATATGGCATAAAAGTATATCGATATCTGTCCCAGAAAGATTTACAGTTTATTGTTTGTTGGGATTTTAGTGCTTGTTTTGTAAAAATTGTTAAAAAGCATTCAGCATTTATTACATGCACAGCAGCTGTATTACTTCCAGTGTTATAATGCTGAGACCTGGTAGCATGTGCCTTACTTACTCTGTACAACCTCCCCAAACACCACCACTATCATCACATCACACCAGGATGGGTCCAATCGGACACATCACAAGCACTCATGAGTCATGTGTAATGAGGACCTAAAGCAGTGTTAAAGAAAGGGACAATGTGTCATAAAGCTCTTATGTTAAGAGTATAACACCTATGAGCCACTTGGCTGAGAATCAGGAGATGTTTAATTATTGCCTCCTGACATTAGCATGGATCTCACCCCTTAGGCATCAGTTTGGGGGGTCAGGCTGTGGTATGGTGGGGAAGATAGGGGGCAGAGACTGGTGGAGATAGTGAAGAGGAATAAATCCTCTTCAGTACCAGATGTCTCTTGTGCTTATGCTCTGTCTGTCTTTCTCCTACTGACGGAAGTACAGATCAGGAGTTACAAATGATATCATGACAATTTTTCATGCTCTTCAAACCAGTGATGTTTTACCGACTCATTTGCTATGATACCTTGTTACAGATCCAGCTGTGAATCAGGGACATGTCATGCGGCTAGAAGCTCACCTCCCGCTGAGCCTGGCCAATGACCTGGAAGGCAATAGGGGATGCCAGTGCCTGCAGCATGTGCTGTACTGACAAAGCAGCAGGGCACCGTCAAAAACCCTCTCATACAAACTTTGTAGATCACTCCGTTTTTACCAGATGAGTAAGCACTGGTGCTGACTTTTTCCTCTGCCCTAACACAAGGTTTATGGAACTCCCTTCACGAGTCTGTAGCTCCGGTTGACATGCAGCAATATCCTTGCCCACAAGGGGAATAGTGTAGTGGTGGATTTTGGGTAGAAGGATGCAGATAGCACGTGGCAGGGTCACTGCACAGGCTAAGCAACAATTCAGTTGAGTGCCTATAAAGGTGGACTATGGCTGGCAAAGACCAGCACACCGGCCAAAGAGGCCACACAGTCAAGAACAATCTATGGCCTTTGAACACAACATCCCCTCAGCTCATTCTGTTGTGTATGTTTGGACCTTAATATGTGCAAGGTGTTGTTTTGAACATCTCTTGTCTCTTTCTTAAAAGTGAATCACTCATATGGAAACATTTTAGAGTGATTTTTCCAAAAACACATTAAACCCAGACAATAAAGTGCAATCCACTGAGACAAAGTAAGAGCTCAGTTCATTAATTTATTTTTGCATTCTTTAACAGGAATTCAATGAGGTTATAGGTTTCCAGATGAGAGCCCTCACGCAATCCCGTGCCCTGATGACTTAGTGTATTACTAGAATGATGCGGCTGAGACTGATGGAGCTGAGAGCGTCAGGGGGCACTAGCCTTTACTGCCCAAAGCAGGTGGACAAAACCAGAATGTGCCCTCTGACCCAATCCGCTGACCCAGCAATCATGACAGAAACAAAGGAAAGGAGGAATGCACCAAAGAAAAGGAAAATGACAGGAAAAGGAAAGTAAGAAATACAAGATGAACATGCATTTATATCAAAAGAAAAGACAGGGAACAAGAGAAGACACTGACCCGGACTTTTCTGCATGTTAACCAAATCACAGGAAATTATTTTAAGGGCTTTTTTCTCATTCAGTTCATTCTGATTCCACCTCTCTCACTTCATTTAACTGAATTAATGAGCAGGTACAGCCAGGCCTCAGAATAATAATGTCTTGGGCAGCTTCTTTTTTAATGAGGGATTGAGTCTTTTTTTTGGTTCAATCTTTATGTAGATAAAATATTTACTTTGGTTACCTTAAAATAGATGTCACTGTCCAAGATAAAATATAAGCTCCAAGAAGGTTTACGATGCAAAAATACAAAGAAAGATGTAAATCAACACAACACTGTCATTTTAATGTCATTTCATTTCTGAAAAGTAGTTAACTGGATGCAAGTTTATGAATGAATGTTCCCATAGCACTCATCTCAGCACGCTGACGTGGAACAAACACAGTGGGATGTTGGCCTCGTGACATGACGCTGGCGGACTGAAAAACATCGACATCAGAGAGGACCTAAAGCTGTGTACACATGGTTCACCTCAGGACAGACCTGAGTATAGCACCATGTCAGTGTAGGACTCCCTCTGTGCACTCTGTCGAATGCACCTCTGTGATGGTACAGCAGACAGAGTTAGCATGCTGCTGGCTATATCATACCGGAGAAAGTATTTAGAGCATTAAAAGCAGTTTAAAGTCTAGTAGTTCCATTTAACAGTCAAACCCAGTTGTAAAAATATGCCTGCTTATTGCCATATGTCACATGTGATGTACATCCCATCCGATTTATGAAATGATATGAGTTCATTCATTATTCATATTGGTAGAGGAGTTATTACCATTTTCCCATCAGGCTTGCCACTGACACCATAAACATTATGAAATCACAGCTCACCCAAGGCATTGCTGCTGCTGTGAAAAGTGGTCACAATTGACTAGTTAACATGGGCATGCAATACAATAGAGACAAGCACTAAATGCCATACAAGTGACCCGTGAATTTTTAATACAAGCAAAGTGGTGACAATAA